ATGGTCCCTTGATATATATACCATGTTCCAACCTTACGAATCCCCTGCAATTCGTTGCCTTATTGTACGCAAACCAACATATCTTTGTAACGCGTTCCCAAGCGAATATGACTACCCGTCCCCTTAGCACGGGTGGAAATGAGCTGTCAGGAAGCGCCAGACACTTTGTACCCGGAAAGCCGTGCTGGGTATGAAAGTGGTCAAACCCACGTCTTCCCGAACCGTCAATCATCGCGTCCCGACAGGAACACCCCGCATCGCTAAAGCAAGTCGCGCTCCCTCCCATCTCATTCTCACACGACCCGCTGAGGCTTTTGGGCAATTGATGATCCCGGCGTTCCCAATTGGATTCCATTGGATTGGAAAAAAAAACTCGTTGGCATGTGCATATAAGTGACCGACCAACTTACAATGGCAGTCCGGCCCACAACCCACGTTGCCCACACTTTCTCAGAGACTCTTGGATGCCGGGACCCGTTTTCAGACTGAGACAATGCTCGTGTGTTGAGACTTGTAGGTAAATGGATTTCCATATCCGTCGGTGATAGGGGTGAAGAAGTGTTGTCAATTCTCACACGAATCGCAACTGTGGTGCAAAGAGTTGAGACGTTGTTGCTGCTGAACGCGCTGGTCGACTGCTAATCCGCCTGTCCTCGGCTGACTTTGCATCTGAAGACGCGATATCAACCACTCAACGCGTCGAGACATGTGCAACCCGTTTTATGCAGTGAACAGAGTCTGACCGTCAAATCCAAGGCCCAAAACTTCATCCGAGGCCTTTATGGCCAGAATTTGCTTCAACATCGGGACCAGACCGCCAACTTGTGCACTCAAATCAGCATCCAAGAAACCCAGCAAGTCGCGGCGGCGCGGTGAGTGTGGTTGGAGCTAAGGCCCTTCACCGAGCCCTCACCTCGGTCAGGCCAGACCGACACGGGAAGCACGGACCCCATCGGCACCGGCGCCCTGGATCCGCCGACAGGACATGATCCCTGTCGTTTTGGCCAAAAAATTTCTGGACGACGGTCCAAAGATTTCTGGTCGCCCCCACCATATCTCTCTCTGTAGTCGCCGTGTTGAAGTTTTGCCAGAACCAAAGAAAACCACAAGACGAGCCTTCAACCAACCCGTCAAACCAGCAGTCATGGCTCCCTCAAAGACCGTCGCCGTTTCATCGAAAGATGTTACGCCCTCAATTGACCCCGAGCAGGTAATTACTCCCCGCTACTTTTCCTCCCGTTGGACAGCAGCGCAACTCCATTCAAGATCTCCCAGATCGCTAACCGATGCGCGAAACCTTAGACCCTGAAGGCCTCCAAGGCTCTCCTGGCACACATCAAGAAGGCCGCCAAGGAAAAGTCTGAGGAATCCGGCAAGAAGAACCTCCTCGCCGACGAGACAGAGGACCTCGCCAGCCAGCCCATCTGGCTCACCCTCACGACCAAGCGCCACATCGCCGACAGCGCCCGCCTCAAGCCCGGCAAGATCACCCTCCCGCACCCCCTCAACCAGGACGAGGACGCCACGATATGCCTCATCACCGCCGACCCCCAGCGCGCCTACAAGAACATCGTCGCCTCGGAAGAGTTCCCCGAGGCCCTCCGCAAGCGCATCACCCGCGTCGTCGACGTGGCCCACCTCAAGTCCAAGTTCAAGCAGTACGAGGCCCAGCGCAAGCTCTTCGCCGAGCACGACGTCTTCCTCGCAGACGACCGCATCGTCAACCGCCTCCCCAAGGCCCTCGGCAAGACCTTTTACAAGACTACCGCCAAGCGCCCCGTCCCCGTCGTCATCTCCGCCAAGCCCCCGCGCGGCGCAGACGGCAAGCGCGCAAAGGCGGCCCCCAAGACCCCCGGCACCGTCAACGCCGGCACCCCGCAGGACATTGCCGCCGAGATCGAAAAGGCCGTCGGTGCCGCCCTCGTCAGCCTCACTCCGTCCACCAACACCGCCATCCGGATAGGCTACGCCGGCTTCAAGCCCCAGCAGGTCGCCGACAACGTCACCGCCGTCGTCGACGCCCTCATCACCAAGTGGGTGCCCGAGAAGTGGGCCAACGTGAAGAGTATCTACGTCAAGGGCCAGGAGACCGCCGCCCTGCCCATCTGGCTGACGGACGAGCTCTGGCTCGAGGACAAGGACATCGTCGCCGACGACAGCGAGCAGGCCAAGGCGATGAAGGAGAAGGCCAATGTCGGCAAGAAGCGCAAGTCGATTGGCGCCGACGACGAAGAGGCCGAGACTGCGACCAAGCCCAAGAAGGCCAAGAAGGCGGCCAAGGAGGCGGCGCAAAAGGCTCTTCCCGAGGGCGACGACGAGAACGTCAACAAGCAGATTGCCGAGCGCAAGGAGAAGCTGAAGAAGCAAAAGGCCAAGGCCAAGGCTGCCGTCGACAACTAAATGTGTTTTGAGACCCAGGGCATGGCTGTAGAGATGGTGCCGAAAAAATAAAAAGGAGGAAGGGTTTTTACGTGCGGGATTATACCATGCATGGTTTGTGGCGTACGGCGTTGGTTCAAACAAAACTTAACCATGAGAACTCGTGCTTAGAAATTTACCAATAAGAACTAGTGTACAATTTTCCCTTTTGCACTTTTCCCCTTGTGTCGCTTTCAAATTACTACCCAGCAATTACAACTCCTCAAAGACAGGAATCTCCTCGACCGTCTTCTCAGCCTCAAAGGTCTTCTTGAACGGCCCAAAGAACTCCTGGATAGTCTTATTGAGCGTCTTATCAGATATCTGCATATGCTCGCCAGGAATCTGGCGGAAGCGAAGCCCGCCCTTGCGGTCCAGCTCCCTCAAGCCAATCCAGTCCTCCTTGTAAATCGCCCGGGCCCGCAGCGGCAGGCTCTCGGTGCCGTTGACCTCCTCGAACCACGCCGTCTCCTTGGGGATGACGGTGGTGTCGTCCTCAAACATGACCATGACAAAGTTGGCCAGGCTGGCGAGGTTCTTGCCGTACCGCACGTTCTTGAGCTCGCGCTCGTTGTTGATGTCGGCCAAAAAGTTGGACGACTCGAGGTACTTTTCGTACTGCTCCGGCTGCGGATCGCGGTAGTACTGGGCCGGCACGAGGCGGTTCTGGACGAAGCCGGACCAGGTGTTGAAGCGCAGGAGGGCCATGGCGCCCTTGCAGAGGAAGTCGCCGTCGCCGCAGGCGCGGAACTCGACGATGCCGTTGTGCTGGCTGCCGTAGGTGACGAGGGACCGGACGGGCGGGTTGTTGCAGCGCTCGACGTAGCCGCGCAGGAACTGCCCGCCCTGGCTGAAGCCGATGGCGTCGACGGCGGGCGCCGTGGAGAGGATCGGGTGGGCGGCGAGCTCGGCGCAGACTTCCTCGAGCTGGGTGGTGACGTTGCCGAAGAAGGTGGCGGAGCGGTCGGCGTTGGGGTCGGCGCCGACCTTGATGGTATAGACAAAGGTGCCCGGGTTGAGCTCCTCGGCGACTTCGCCTAGGCGCTTGATGCCCTCGCCGTCGTACGAGTCGCCGAGGCCGTGCCAGACGATGAGGGGGATCGGGTGGTCGTCGGTATCGTCGGACGAGCTTGTGTGGTGTTTGGGGGTCGCGGCCGTGTAGGCTGCGGTGGCTAGGGAGCCGACTGTGAGCAGTGTGGGGATGGAGAGGGACTTCATTGCGTATTCTCGTATTTTCTGGTTGTTCGTCTACTACTATCAAAGCTGGACTATGGTTGTGAGGTTGGAGAGCGACCAGTGTCCCAGAGACTTTTGTTAGTCTTTCTTTGGATGTCAAAGGGATGGAGGGGAGTGTGGCAAGGGAAAGCTGACGACACCAACACAAGCCCATGGACTGACTGTAGCTGCGCGGTTGGGCGAGAGAGCAGGAGCTTGGCCGTTGCCGCCTGCCTATCGCCATGCAGCGCTGACTTATCGATTGAGCTTCCCATTGGCCACGGACAAAACATGTGGGCTGGGGGATGTTCCGAGAGCCCGTCCACTCATCTTCACTGAACGTTCCTTTGCATGTGCTTAGGTCAGCACCTTACCAGCGGTCCGTGCCATCCATTTCACGAGTTTCCCAGGCTCCAAGGGGTTAGCGTCTCAGGAGCTTCAACCTCGACAGCTCTCGAGCCGTCTCTTTGGCTCGGTGCTCTCTTACACCGTGATACCTACTTGTAAGCTCAACTACTAAGCCAGACGGTAGACCTAGCCTCCCCTGTCAACGTCGGTCAAAAGTCTTCGAGGTCCGGCGGTCCTCCTCTGCCAAGATCACAGCAGACAGACTAGAAGCAGCAACAGCTCCAGCCAAGTCCGTCGGGGACCTTGTCAAGTGTCGGTCCTCGTTCCTGGAAGCTAATCGCTCCCGGATGGCGGTAGAACGCAGCATAGACATTCGTTACGTCGATTGACTCGAGTGGCTATCCCTCCCCCCAGCCGTGTGAGTGCCAACAGCTCAGTGGCGGGTAGATCCCAGGTCGGCGGGATTCCCTGCCCTCTCTGCCCCTCTGAAACGCTCTCGGTGCGAGACCAAAGATGCAACCAAGAAATGGTCCCCTGTTTCACGCAACCTAGCCTCTCAGGCTCTCTTACTGGTGTTCCCCCCGGAGTACCACCACCACCGCGACGCACCCTCGTACAGGGACACGAGGGGCAGAGGCTGACGACGCTGGAGACCGAAGGGTGCATGAAGTAGCCTTGTGGCTGGACGACGTTGATCGGCCGATCTTTTTGCGGCCTTGGCTCGGACGGCATGTGTTCGGGCGAACCCTCTTTGCTGGCGGGTTACGTGGGTGGGCAGTGTTCGCGGGTTCCATAAGTATGGACGACGGTCCCTTCTCGAACGACACTTGAAACAAGGGAAGACGAGTATCCTCATTGAACTGAAAACCCATCTGCAGAATTGTCGAGTTTATCTGATCTGAACAACTGCATCTCTCTATTTACATCTTTCAATCTAAATTTACGCCTTTGCTCTGCATTTCACTCTTCTCGTCTCGCTCATCGGACGTTTCCATCTCACAGTCCGACAACCGATCAATATGCAGTTCTCAAAGGTTCTCTGCGTCCTCTTCCCGGTTGCCGTCCTGGCGGCGCCGTTCAAGACCTTCGAGGTCCCGACGCTAGATCCCAACACGGTTGCACCGGTGGTTCCCGCTATCGACCGCCGTGTTCCTCAGGCGGACACTTGTGACGAGTAAAGTGGCTTTGTGGGACAGCACTGAGGGAAGATACTGGCGGTTCTATCAACGTTCCTCTAACACAACGCCGAGGGATGGGCATGGAAACGTCAGTATGTCACTCGGTGCTAGGAGCAGACCAGTGATATCAAAAAGGTTTGTCTTTATCCAACAACATCAACTTACGCCCATTACACCACTTCTCGACGCATTTTATACCCTCAACGACGTCTCAGTACGGCATTGGTTACATACAATGACACCAAGCCGCACTTTGATACTCCTTTCAACCCTTTGTTGTCTAAAGACATGAGGCATGGCACATGGCTAACATCACTCTCAGATACCCCTATCACTAGTCTACATGCTCAATCTGCGAGGAGGAACGTTCAGGAGACGGGGCTCCTAGGTCCCATTGTGAACACGGCTCCGGTTCAGGGCCTCACCAGCCGCACCTCAACTCCCCACGCGGCTGGAAAGGATGCTTCGGTTCTCCGAGTTCGTTTAGTGGAAACGGAAAAACGTTTGGGGAAGGAAAGAATATTATTGTACCTACCTTTGAAGGCGGTCTTTCGAACCTGCCCTTGGAAAAGAAATAGACGCCGAGATATCCACCACTTTCTCTCTTGACTCTTTGCTCCCATACTCTACCGGTTGACGATACCTTCGTCGTTGGGCGACTGCAGTTTCGCCGTGCTCTCTCGGCCGTCGCGTCTTGAGGGCATTTATCTTGACATCGACAATTGCGGTCTTATTGCGAATCTCTCTGAGAAGCTATCGTTGCTCCAACTCAAGGTTTCAATACTCTCTTTTCGAAGTCTCTGCGTTCGCTCTCGGGATTTGCGCCTTCACCACTCTCTATCGACTGAGCTTACTTGGCAACTGAACTGTCTTGATCTATCCTTCTAGCTCAGCTTCGCGATCGAGCAGCTTCTTAGTCGAGCAGACTCACATTTACCAGCTGACTACAAGCTCACCTACACTCTCCTTTACTCTCCCCTCTCTGAACATCACGGCAAGTTGATTTCCTACCATTTCCGAGACCGCCCGCGGTTTTCTCTATTCGCCCGAGGATACTGGACAATTACCTGCCATTTTTTTTTTCGAGATATCCACTAGAGGGAAGGATCTTTGAAACTTTACTTTCTATCGGAAGCACACTTACTACTAACTCACAAAGATGGATGATGAACTGACGCAATGGATAAACACAGATGAAGTCCCCCGGAATCATTCCTGCTGGAGTGACTGCTCTCAACGGATACTATGTTCCTACCAATCCTTCGATTCCCGGAACCTCAGAGATCAAACAATTCGACTTCACGGTTGACGGTCATCCCAAGGTGATTAGAGTCTTGCATCGACAAGACCGGTCCGTTGAGCCGGCCCGCTTCCGGCTCCGCGTCGTGGAGCACCCCAACTGGGTGACACGGTCCGTGCGCAAAAGAAAGGTCGACTGGGACGCCGCGGTGGACGCAGGTCCAGCACCGTTCACCCACCCCACCGCGACTCTGCCGGACATCTACAAGGCAGTTTTGGAGACCCTCGGACGCGAAATCTCGGAGGCTACGCTGGAACAGATCAACAAACTCCACAAAGACGACACCACTCTCGACCTGCCCCTCGAGGGAGACAAGGTCTGGTTCGATGACTACAGCTGGATTCAGCTTCCCGTTAAGCGTTCTTCGTACCTAGCCATCGACCCAGACGACGACGGTGACTCTGACGACACCGGCACCGTAGGCGACAACGACCGGTACCTCGACTGCGATTTCGATTGCGGCGACGCTTTCGCGGACGAGAACGAGAAGACATTGCAGGGCGATTCTGACACGGCTGGCAAAGATTGTGACGGCGATTATACAATGGCTCCCTCCGGCCCCAAGGCGCAGAGCGTTGCGCAGAGTGCTGCTGCCACGAACAACTCAGCACCGGCCGCCGAACCCGCGGCTGCTAAGGGTCCGCACCCTGGACATATGCAGGTGTCTTGCCAGTTCACGAGCGAGCAGAGATTGAGACGCATGCTGCGAGACAACAAGAGCGATCCAGCTAGGGAGGATAGCTACCGTCTTCAGGGAGTGCAGCTCATCGATAACGTCCGCACCATGCTACGCGTGTATGTTGGACCCTCGTTCTGGTTACGATGGCAGGAGCTTGATGAAGTGGCGATGCTGACTTTTTACTCGCAGCCCTATCAAGACGTTTGACACTGCTTGTGTCTACTTCCACTGGTTCAGGCTCTCGTTCCGCGACGCCGAGTACAACTACTCAGATGCTGCCATGGCTTGTCTCTTCCTGGCCTGCAAGGTTGAGGACACCATCAAGAAGTCCAAGGAGATCCTGTGTGCTGCGTACAACATTAAGAATCCCGAGCACCCCACGACCCAGGACGATAAGGTGTGTAATGACCAGTAGTCTACTATTTGGCTGTGACTAACCCAATCGCAGATGTTCGAACAGCCCTCCAAGATCATCATCGGCCTGGAGCGCCTGGTCCTTGAGACCGTCGGCTTCGACTTCCGCTGCCGCTACCCTCAGTCCGCTTTGCTGAAGGCAACCAAGAAGATCCTGGGTCCCCAGTCCAAGACCGTCTTCGCTACCGCCATGGAGATGAGTGTCGACCTGTACAAGACCTTTGCCCCAGTCAAACAGACAACCTACGCCCTGGCCCTAGGTCTTCTAGAGCTCAGCGCCCGCCTCCTCGGCCAGGGCGTCGACAAGGTAGAGAAGATCAACTACGCAGACTTCCACACGACGCGCCAAAACGTCGTCGAGACGGTCCTCGACCTCCTCGACCTCTACACCCAACATGGCAAGTCCACCAAGCTCGGCGTCCAGTTCGACCTCAATAAATTCATCGAGGTCAAGATCGTCATCAACAGCGAAGTCGACAACACTCCAGGCCTCGTGCGCTACGCCCACTGGTGCACCAATTGCGACGGCGGCGAGGACGAGAACCTCTCCAACGGCGTCTCCGTCCTCAAGAATATTTCCTTCTTTGGTAGCAACTCTGCTAAGCGCAACGGACGCAACCAGGACGGCACCATGCGCTTCGTGTTCGACCCGGACCGCGCCCGCCAGGAGCGCAAGGAGGTCGAGGCTTACTACCGCGACGAGTACGAGGAGTACGAGGTCGAGGTTGAGGTTCCCATTGAGCCTGAGCAGCGCGGCGGCGGCAACAACAATAACAACCACAACCACCGCGATAAGCGTCATGAGGGCGGCGGCGGCGGTGGTTGGGGCGGTCGTCGTAACCACCATGGTCGTGCCAAGGGCCGCGGTTACTACTGAGCTTGCTTGCTAGCTACCTCTATCATCACCTTCATCTTTGAACTCGCTCTTCACCGCGTGGCGGTCACTACTTCTGTCGACGGTTACATAGCACCCGCCAACGAACGAGGCTTTGCACATCAAGTGTATATGGGATGGAAGGGGAATTTTGTCCGATTATCTGGCGTTGACGGTACCAAAAGATACCCCATGGGAAAAGAATTTGGAATGCTTTTTTGTTTCCGAGAAGGAAAAACGTTACTTTGGCGGTTTGAGTCCGCCCGCACGTCACATTGTCAGAACTACAATTCATATCACGAGGCTTGCATAAGCAGATAGGAATTGAAACATACGGTTGCATATTGTTGTGCCATTGGGTTTGTGCGCAAATGCCTGATGAAAAGTCAGCGCTGGGCAACCTCGCTCGGGGCACCGAAAGGCCAAGATGCGGACGAGCTCGATCAAGGAGTTCTAAATCATCAGGGAAGATCACAAGACACCCCTAATCGAGGCCCTCGGGCTTGATCGAGGTGCTGAGGCCACGTCAACAATGTAGACTGCCTAGGCATACTAGGCCACATTACAGCGGTCCTCACTGCCTGAGTTGGGCTGAAATAGCGAGAGAGCCCGACGAGTGTTGTTGGTGTTGATAGATAGCCTGGCTGAATTTCTTCGCTTGGGACTCAGCATGGAGGCCGCCCTCGAGAGGTGGCTTGCAAAGCTGAGCCTGCATTCATCGGGACACCCGACACGAATCCAGGGGCTCGCCTCAGTGGCCTCACTGGCCTCACCTGTAGGCTGTCTTTAGCGACTTCCAGTGACATCTTGATATGTGCTGATTTTCCTTTGAAGGCGTATAGAGGTTGGAGCGGGCGGGGAAAAAGGGGGGGGGGGGGGGTGGGCGGTTGTGTTACATATACCCATGCCTGATAGGCGGTTATTTCGAGTTCATCCGCGAGGCAGGCTGGGAGGCTCACTAAGATAGTGCATGTTTCCCTTATTTCAATGCACAACGCGTCATGCGCAGCTTTGCTGTGCATCTTCGGTGTGGCCTCACCAATGAGGCGGAGACATTGGGATTTTACTCGATGTTGGATGCGGCGCTGTCTGAGGCCACGCGCTTGCTTACCTTGAGGCGCTCATTCTAGTCGTCTCGCTATTGTCCGGCGCACTCTGTTGGGCTCATGTATAAAGCCTTTGCGATGCCCACTTTGCCGTGAGATGTGTTGAGACTAACCATTACCTCGAACTACCATAGTTACACAACAAGCACGCACACACGATCTACTCCGCTCATCAAACCTGAGCCATACTGCTTCATCCACCTACTTTGCCGCACCCATGATCATGAAAGGAATGAAGCTCGGGCAGCATAGCATCATGTATTTAAGATGACTAGTTTTCCTCACACAGGTCCTTTGATGGGCTCATTGAATCTCCTTCTCGTCCGCTTCTCGATGTATTGCGATTCATATTACTAGACCATGGTCAATATAAATATAAAGTCTTTGCCCACCCCGAACTTGTGTTTTAATATTGTGAGTCTTCATGCTCCTTAGTCCCACTCGGAAGCAAACTTTCAACATGTCCTCAGACCTAACTTACTTTATTCACAGTCTGAGACCAGGCTTGGGGGATGAAGACAGACTTCACCTACCCACAACTAAATTGTCTCAAAATCTGTAGGCTCCCCATGTCCAACGTTTGGTATATTACCAGACACGTATGCTGACCTTGAATACATCGCCTTAGCTCTTCATCTCCGGCTTCACCTCAAACACCAGAGAGCACAGGCTTTACTGTTGATCGCACATACCCTGCTGCTCTGACTTTGGGCTCTAACAATGAGGCGACGTACATCTCATCCCATGGAGCATGCCCACATGACTTGTGCTGCCATGCTTTGCATCATGGACCGCTTGGTGGTTGCTCTCATGGTACCAACGACAGCCTCTCACGCAGCTCCTCCTTCAGCGGAAACACATGGCCAGTTGCTGGCCCCTCGCTCTCAGACGATCGCTTCCCGAATCTTGACCTGAGCAGTGTACCCTACTCAATCAACAACTTGTCTGCACATACCAGTCAACTGGATTTCCAAGCTGTTGATGCTTTCGAATGGAACAGTTTGCATGCTCCGCAACAGTCCCTCGCAGATTTGCATATCACCGACAATACACCATTGACAGCACAATGTCCAGGTGTGACCCCTTTGCGCCAGAGCAACGATACTGGCCTCGTTTCTTTGGGCATCCCAGACGAACAGTCTGTCCACGCTCTTGAGTTATTCGACTTCTCTATCGGCAGTGGATTCAATAATTCGATTTCAGTATTCCTCTCAGGCGCTGCGAGCCCCCAAGGATCTCTTCCACACAAACAAGGCGCACAGCCCGATGCTGTTGACTGGGATTCTCAGACCCCCCTCGCTGGGACTGGTAGCATTAAACGCTCCAGAGATGAGTCCGGTTCGGATGATTCATCAACCTCGGGCGATTGTCCGTTCTGTGAAAACTTCAGTGGAGATGCGAAGCAACTTAGGTTCGTGTACTCGTAAGATCCTCAACTTCGGCTCGTGAATTGACATAGTACAGAGAGCATATCAGGTGCCACATCCGGAAGCATGTCTGCGCGGTGCCTCGATGTTCTCTGCGGTTCAGCACCGCAAGGGATCTACAGAGACATGACAGGTCTGCACATCGCAAGGAAACACTCGGATGCCACATCTGTAAAGCGACCATTCGTGGCGGTCGTGAAGACAACTTGAAGAGGCATGTTAGACAGAGACACTCATCGTGAAACATGGCTGGTCCAGTTCAATGTTCTTGCAGAGTGACAACCGTTTTATGATTCGTTCTATTGGCAGCTTGGAGTTGTAAACGCTCATTGTTACGTTTTGGGTGAATCGTATTTAGGAGTGCACGAGTTGAGCAATCAATTATGCACGCCAGCGCATTTTCCAAAATCAACTTCGTCTGGAAGTTATTTTCTACTCAAAAAGTTTGATTGTAAAATGCCTCCAATGATGATGCCTTTTCCAAGGGGATGGCAGAAGAGAAGCGAAATTCGCAAACATGTACGTGAGGACAATGTTCCCATGTATGTTCAGCGGACCATGGAGGTAAGCCCCGATGAAACGAAATATGTTCAAGCACATCAGTAAAGGCTGCGCAGGTTGGATAGTCCTACAGCCTCAAGGTTCTCCTTAATCGTTCCATTCAGCTGAACGTTGAACGGACCCAGTTCCAAAGGACAGTAGTGTTCCTTGCCACACATGGTGTCTTGGAAGTAAGATCGAATGGCGGCGAACGCACACATGTTGTTCGTGGCGACAGTGGTGTGCTACGATACTGTTAGCGCATTGCACCTGTGAAGGAGATGTTGAGATTGAGCTTACACCCATGCCATCAGTGACAAGTCTTCTAGCGTTGGCATACTTGGGCGCATTCGAGACGGCGCTGAAAACTCGCGTTAGCAAGGTTTAATAAGCGTAGGCAGGATCAACTTACTTCTCAATGGGTGTCGTAGGATCGTACGTGTTACTGGTGAAGAGCATCGGGTACGAGGTGTTACCTCCATACGGACCCTTGAAAACGTCGTTGGATCTGATGGGCCACTCGAGACATGCGAGCATCGTCCTAGACCAGACTTCTCCCACGATACTCGTATCCTTCAAGCCATCCAGGAGAGGCTCAATGTCCGCGAGTGACTTTCCATACCAGATATTGCTCTGATCAGAGCACAAGACACCGAGAGTCTGCTCGGGATTCACGTATCCTCCCATATTAGGATCTCCGTAGATCGCATTCGTCTGCTCTGTCCACGCAGCAATGGAGTTGGACGATATTGCCTTCTCCAAAGCAACGAAGACGTCGGAAATTCTGCTGAACTCGGCCAGCGGTTGCACCACCGCACTAAGGACACTGACTTTGAAGGTCACAAGTGCCAGGCCAATGTCAGTTGCGTTTGCCCAGCCATCTGCCTCAGCCTTTTGAGCGTCAAGCTGCTTAAATGAAGCATTCCATCGGCTGAATATGTCCTTTGGAGTGTTTCCCGTATATAAAGAGCAGACATCTGGGCCTGCGGCGTGACAGTACACGAAGAAAGCTCCCAAAACGCCGTCGACGTGGTTGATAGAGCTCGAGGTGAAGTTCGTCTGGTAGCTAACTGGGTCAACCAGTCCATCGATGGCAACATGGCCAACCCTATCAGGGAACATTGACGCAAACGTCTGTCCGAGCATGGTTCCGTAGCTCACACCGTAGTAGTTCAGCTTATTCGAGTCAAGCACCGTACGATTACCGTCAGGAGAAGCAGAAAAAGCCTCAACAATGCTAAGCATGTCGCGCGCAGTAACAGCAGTCGTCATATGCGGACCGGCTTCGGTATCAGCACCAGTTTGGGTCTGACACTTTTCTCCAAGCTCTTTTCCAAAGTCGATGAACTGTTGGTAGTACCCATCAACCACCCGCGGGGCATCTCGTCCGGAAAGTGTACCATTCTTGCCTATCGAGATGCCTGCTGAGCAATTGGGCCGCGGTTCGCTGATCCCGACACCGCGGGGGTCAAAGCCGATGATGTCAAAGTTGGAACCGGCTACGACTTGAACCGTGGTGCCATTGTAACGCGCCAGCTCGATCCCAGACGCTCCTGGTCCGCCTGGGTTGATGAGGATGGCGCCTCGGTAAGGGCCGTCTGGGGACTCGGCGGCGGCGGGGATCTTGAGTAAGGGGACGGAAGCTCTGCCAAGACTTGAATCCTTGTAATCGAGAGGTACCTGGGTAACTCTGTTAGTTGGAAAGAAATGAGGATTGGAGATATGACTTACATCAAGCTTGGCGCAGAAGAATTGGCCTTCACATGGGCACCAGACGAGGTCCCGGGAGGGCGTGATCGAATCAAATGTGCAGTCTTGTGCTCCAACGGCTCTAAATCCCATGAGTACAAGCGCCGCCGCCAGTTTCCAAGATGTCATTGTAACTGAAGGAGGAGACGAACGAATGTGTTGGTTTGGTATAATAAAGAATGGAAAGGGCAGAGGAGCGAAATTCTCAGTCGCTTCTCGGTTGGTCTGGGTACTGCTTTGATACACCAGCATCGGACGGGACTTTGATTGATATATATACAAATTGCCAGGAAAGTTAAACCACTGCTAGACGACTTTCGAGAGGGAGTATGGGTGTTGCACTAGTGAGTAAGAAGGCAAACACCCCTTCCGAGACAAAACCTGTCCCCATTGGAACTTCTTGAGCTTGGCTCCGTCACCACCGCTCTCGTCATCTTACATCTGGCATCATAAAGTCCGAAGCCAAGTTGATCATTGCTGCCACTTACACTACTTAGAGCGTGAGGGGTTTCTGAGCAGCATCCGGGGCTGCATAGAAAAGGAGATTAGAAGTAGGCTGTGCTCGACCTGCGGGTCACTCGCAGAGTCTAAGAATAACCTGCAGCTGGACTCTACAAGAATGCGATGTTTCAAACACGCCCATATAATAATTAAGCTTGTCTTGATGTTTGCCGATGGAGAATCTCGACGTAGGTAGTCAATCTTAGGCAGCAGCCATTCCTCCCCCATACTCCGAACGGGCGAGCTTACCAGAGAAGATCACTCTAATCAAGAACACGTTGATGTTGTAGAGGAGTATTCTCTATCATAGCCACGATTGTGTCTCATGGATTTCGGATACGAGATGTCTCTAGCAGTTTCATTTCCTCTTGCGACGATGTCAACCACTTTGATGATAGAAATCCCTTGCTTACGCTCTGTGATTGGTGGCGAACGACCACCACGCCCGTATCACTAGTCTGAGAATCGTCGCTTGCACCAAAAAATTCCCATAGACCGTGACAGCTAAGTCGTACGATCTCCAGAACTAAGACTACTTCCAGGATATCAAGCTGGTGAAGGTGTAGTCGAGACAAGCAGGCGAGGCCACACGTGGGGATATTCCCGTCAGGGAGACTATCCCGCTTCGCGTTAGTGTTATACGAGCAAGACAGGGGTCGAGGGGAGCTTGGCAACAAACCGAGTGGCTCCAAGACGATACAGACCTAATGTAAGTCACATTTGGCTTCCATTTCTGTCTATACGAAAGCTCCGACAAAAATTTGCAAAACGCCCGATGGACGATTTCGTACATTACCTCACATATTCGGTTTATAGACAAGGTAAATTCTCGCCATTAATTGTTCACTGAAATGCCATACCAGGTAGGTCACTGTCGAGACAGATGGAGCAGAAGAAGTCAAGGCTAATGGTGAACAGGGTGACGAGTGAATGAAGGTCTCTCTCTCTCTGTGTCTCTGTCTGTGTTGGGACTCGGAATATCTCGGTCATTCGTCTTTAACCTTAGGTGTGATCAAGTGAGTGCAACAAACATTCGAATGGCTACCCTACATATCAATAAGTACGCAAGCTGAAGTAACCCTTACTTCCGGCTCATAGCCTTATTGGCGCCTTGCATCAATGTCTCATCAAACGATACCAGAATGAGGCGCAACCAAGGCTCTCTCTCACGGAAGGATCGTGTTAGTCTAGCCACCGGTGCCAGCGCATGACCACTGGCTTCCGGGGGTAAGGGGTCATTCAGTCCTACCATCACCTCTGTGAGGCCTACTACTTCGACTCTTTTCCGGGTCTCATCAGCGGTGAGCTTTAAGCGGACACCACCCCCTCCTGCCTAGTTGTGTACAAGGACCAGACTGCCCGGCTTGTGCCCATTCTGCTCCTTCTACTGTTAATTGCTGCTGTTTGCGTTGGAGATAATCGGTAGGCCTTCTAGGCAAACAAAAACCAGAACGAGTTGGAGGCAAATCCTATCCAAGGTGGCCAAGCAGACCGGTGTTCATCGCAGCGAGCTGAACGACTCGACTAGGTTTGTGGACCTCGGAGTGGACTCCCTGATGGGCATTGCCATTAGCAATGTCCTGCATAGGTAATTGACCATGTCCATCCAGTCCGCCCGTTCTTTCAGAACAAACCTACCGCCGCCCCTGTGCACAGAGTCCTGGCGGTGGCCGTTGCTGAGCCTGACGAAAGAAAACGTCTTTCTCTCGGACCTTTCAAGCAGAACGCATTCTGCTTTTCTCCGGACGGCGACTACCTTTCCCTCTCGGAGACGGCGCCAACTCAACCCCAATGAAGCCTATGAAGAGAAAGAGCGGCGGTGTAGTAGTATTAATAGTGGCAGATGCTCGCACTAGACAGACGAAGCCCATCAGCGTGTCCATACGATCTATAAGTCCACCCCTTGGCACGGTTGGGACGCAGACAGAAAGCGAGGGACAGGATATAGAGTTGATGAAGGCATATGTTTTTGTATGTTTTTTTTCTTTCTATTTTTGTTCTTAATAGTACCTACCATTTTGCTAATTCCGGTTCGCGTCAGGTAGAAGCATAGTTCAAAGCAAACAGGAGATAGCGTGCAACAGACTCAAAAGCACAACCATTGTCAAGTAACCAGGTAGCGTACGCCCACTACGCGATAGACCACGAAGAAACCTCACTCCATCATATGGATATCAAATACATTGTGGCAATGGCAGACGAGTCCCTACTCCAGTCTTGATGCCACATGTGTGAAAGGGAGACACTTTTCCCTCGCGGGCGTTGTCCACCCTACGGACCTGACTATACTCCTATCCACTTTTCTGTTCAGTCTGCAAAGTAGAGCCAGACTCTCTCTCGGCCGCTCGTCTCTGGCTATGCTGGGCGCCAGGCTGCCTGGTGAAGAAGCTGGTGGCGCGCCACTCGCCATCGAGAATGTAGCCTGGGTGGAAGACGGTCTGCAGCAGCACAGCCAGGCCGATCATGGCGCCCTCAAACACCATGAAGAGCGTCTCGGCGTTGTCTCCCACAGCGTTGAAGCCGTTGCGCAGCTCCTCGACGCGGAAGGCAGAGCGGGCAAGGATCAGTAGGGCGGCGGCGAAGGATCCTATAAGTGTATCAGCAGACGAGGTATGAGCTAGGAATGAAGAGACACAGAACTCACCCACGAGGAAGTAAGCAAATGCTCTATGCTGACGGACATGAGCATACCGCGTGGTCCATGTGCTCCGGTTCCGTAGCACCCGGATTCCCATATCCAGCGAGAGCAGGACGAAAAGACCCAGGCTGGCACACTGCAGTCCCAGACCGGCCCGTAGCAAGTCAAGCGCTCGGTCGAGATCCTGGGGATTGATTCCATCGGCCTGGGTCCATGCCGCACCGCCAGCCTGAAGAATAAGACAGATGATGTCAAGCGTGACAAAGATGATGGTGTAGGCTCGATGGGGCATGAGCGACACGTGGGGGCCGTAAATGAGTACGATGCGTCCGAAGCAGAGGTAGATGGTGTAGCAGAGGAAGGCCGGGGCGATGGTTATGGTCACGATGTATCTGTGCAGGAACAATGAGGGAACCATCAGCTTTCCGTGTATTCGGAATAGGAAAGGGCGAAAAGGGGAGGCCATTCACTTACACGATGAATGTCTGGTTGTTGAACGGGTCATCGCGGAGCCTGATACGCTCGACATAGCCAACCACCTCGAGCGCCAGTCCGCACGCCTGGCCAAACAGGTAGCTCCAGGTCTTATACCGGATCACAAGGGCTATCTGTGCTATCAGGATGGTTCCGAACCAGGCCACCATGAAGGCGTTGCCGCCCAGGTTTGGTAGGAACCCAATCCTAGACAAGCTGGCCGGGTAAGTGTCCAAGGTGTAGTCGCTGGTATCCATATCCAGTCTCTGTGTTTCTCGTGTTGTCAGGCTGGCTATAAAGAGTGTTAAGAGAAAGGGGGGAGGAGATGGTAGAGGAAGAGGCCCTCCAGGTCTTTATGGATGAGGATGTGTATATAACATGCAGACAACTCGCTGGTAACAAAAGGAAATGATGCCCGCCCTTAAATGAGTGTTTGAGCAACCCCTTGGTGCTGAGATCCTGATAAGTATCCATTTCTGCCTGTCCACAGCAGTAGACTAAAGACTGTGAACCTTAGCTTTTCGTCGTCCTTGAGAGACGATGGTTTTCAACTATCCATGTAGATGATTGAGCTAGCTAGCAACGAGCAAGGAAAACCAAGCTAGCACCAATGACTAGGCGGCAAATTTCCTCCTTCGGACGGTGCATAGCCCTGCTGGACACGACAAACCTGCATACGCGAGTACAACAGCGGGAATAGGACGTCCCTGATGACTCTCATGACCCCGATGCTTATCAAGAAGTACGCGCGCACAGCAGACTTTTCGTCACATACCTAAGCGGTCCGTTGAGTAGCGACCGGAAGTGACCCTCGCCCACGACCGGTCTCTGACCGGAAAGTTAGCTGGATTGAGTACCGCCTCATATCCTGGTCTGGGGAGACAAAGATGACGCTGCTGTGTCCTTCAGCCCCAGCACCACTAGCGTGCGACTAGTTGGATGCCGTCGTTATCGTTGACTGACAGCTGAATTACAAGTTGTCGATGGAATCGGACACATAGGCAGTCCGGTAAGCATGATGCATGCGGCAGGTCGTGGCTGTATAAGCTATGTTGACCAGCGAGGTCTGCGGGTGAGCTCGAAGATGCTCGGCAACCCTGCCGTTTAATGACGAAGGACTTGAGGATTTGTGCCGAGACTGCTGCGATGTGATATTTGCAGCTGTCACCCCTGTGTCCGTATTGCTGCTGCAAGTTGCTGCCTGCCTCCAGCAACAAGCTCAAGTTGCCGCCCTTGAGCATTCCCGCGTCGGCTGGATAGTAAGGAAGAGAGCAGGGAAGAGTACCTACCGCAATATCAGAGTTGTTGATCATTATATTGCGTCCATCAGCGACTCTCGCTGCGCGGCAGACATGGCTCTTTTCTGCCACGTTGATACCCAAAGTCATGGACAGTGGGCCAAGTGGCAGATTAGCTCGAGTGGGCCTGAAGGAGGGACGGTCTGGCCGGGGATCAGGCAGTGTTTGAGTATCACAGTGGACTTGATGAGGGCTGCCATGGCCGCAGCAGTTCCCGCCATGGCCGACTTTGACCTTGACAGCGCCTACGTACAATGTGTAGCCAGGAGAGTGAACACTGCCAAACCCAGCAGCAATGCCAGACATGTCGGCCGTGTCGCCAGCTTGACTGGCAGTGTCGTGAAATTTCGTGCAATTTCAACGTAGGCGAGCTGGGCGGCGTCAATGCCAGTCTGGGCCAGGAGATCGCGGTACAGGTCCTTCTGCATGGCGGTGCTGGGATACGTGATGGAGACGCCACCGGCCGAGTCAACGCCATACGAGGGCGTGTCCCGGCCAAAGTGGCGATTTAACCGCCCCGTAACAAAGGCGTGATGCAGCGTCGGCACAAAGTAGTAGACGTCGACGGCCTCGTTGATGTTGGTATCGCGGTAGTCGTCGGCCGCCTGGCCAAAAGTGGAGTGTACCCACTCGGCCGGTCCGGCCTGCCGTGCGCCCGGAGCGGCACCCGGTATTTGGCAGTGGGGCCATAGGAGGAGGTGTTTGTGATGGCTTGCATACCGTCTCTCTAAGTTGTTGTCTAGATACCTACTATCTACTAGTGTCATTCATTCTTAAGATCTAGCATAGCCAGTGCCTGTTGTTGACCTATACAAATACGGATCATTCCCACCTCTTCAGGATGTAAAGCGTTGTCGACAAACACACACGTATTCTACCGAAGGTACTTGACGTGTGCGGCCATAGTCATCGCACACTTGGACAACCGGATCACCTCAGCCACAAAATCATCAACGGTGTTCAAGTCAAGCACATAGGGTGGGATCGAGCTTCTAGCACGGTCCACGTTCACCAAGTTCGGGATGGACTCGAGCAGTCTGAGGTCGTCTGCCGACTGGTCGTCCAGTGGATTCCGCAACAGATTGAAGAATAGAGTGACTACAGCAGATACGGGGTAGAAGAGTAGTACCCTGTCGAAAAATACCCGTTCCTCAGTAGCTGGCCATCAGATTGAAGGAGCAGAGAGCAAAGTAGAAAAGGGGGTTGCTCACCAAAAGGCAGCTCCCATCAGGGAAGGAGCAGTATCGCGAAAGTACGTCAGACAAGACCGGCTGGCCTCGATAGACAAGGTCTGACTCTGACTGGACCCCAACGGCAAGGTCGCCACCGTTGATACGGTTGCTTCGCTTCCCTCGGTGAACCACGGGCTCGCGGCTCGGTGCAGAGCGGCCACAAGGTGCTGGTACTCAAAGTGCAGCACCATAACGTGCATCCTCTGGCTGGCGTCTAAAGTCGGTTCAAGCCACCAGGCGCTGTTGTTGTTGCCGCTGTAGTTCCGGCCGAGCAGCATGGGCCGGAACCGGGCCGGGATGGAGAGGCGCCACCGCTCTAGCTCACTGTCCAATTCGCGCACTTCGCGCAGCAGCCCAGCGTTGGGTGTTGGGCGGTGATGCTGCTGGTCGGACGGATACTGCTGTAGGCGAATCGAGTATAGCAGCCTGCAGACCTTGGACTTGATGATGCTCAGCCGTAAATCGCCCGGCAGGCAGCAGAGGGCGCCGCTACTGCTGCTGCTACTAATGGTGGTGTCATTGTGGTCAACGTATAGCTCTTCTACGTAGCCCGGAGGTAGTGTAAGGTCGCAGTGTTCGTCGTTGATGCAGGGAGGCTGGCTGGTCCGAAGTGCCACGATCTTGTCAAAGGTGTAGCAGAGCCAGAACAGCTTGCGCGCGTGGCTTCTTGTCCGGCTTTGCTGCTCGGGCACATCGCTCCCTGCGCTGGGCTGCCTGTGTGCTCCCAACGCGAACAACAGGCGACAGGTTAGAGCCAGGGCCATTGAGGCCATCTGGATCTTGCCGCAGAAGAGGTGATACATGCACTAGTTCACGTTAGAAGCCGAAATGTACATTGGTAAGCACAGCACAGCTTAGCCTCTCCTCCCCCTTATGGAACCGCAACTCACCTGCATAAGGCAAGTTTGGAGTCCCGTAATGTCCTGGCTCGCTTGGGCTAGGGGCATCAGGCGCTGGGCCTGCCAGACGCATGCCTCGCTGTCAATGAGATCGGCCATGTTGCGCGGGCTCCATTGTGTATGAGTAATGATGGCAAGAAAGGAGAAGACACAGGCCTGGGCTGCTGGGTTAGCTGCATGGTGCGGATCGTAAGCTTGACTGATGGTTTCTTGAAAAAAGACACCGTCGACGATGGGGAACACGAGTCGGAAGGGAGTCGCCCGAAACATTTGCAGATAGTCTTCGACGACATGTCGGGCCGGCAGTTCGATCTGAATGCAATCAGCCGAGTAGTCGCCTCCAGCATAGGAGGATGATGATGATAACGACGACGTTGAACCGAGCCCCGACAGGTTGGAGAAGACGTGAGCCTGTCCCGTACACCGGCGGATCCAGTTCTGGTGGTCGACAGAGAAGAAAGATGCACCGCTGGGCGAGACAATCTCGTCCAGATAGTATCGGGCAAATCTTAAGCCACATACTGGTGGCACGGAGGAGGACGACGAGCCCTCAAGACTGGTGATCGAGATAGTGACAGTAGGTGAGGCTACGAGTGATTTCATGTGGGTGTCGGTATGTAATGGAGGCACATTGTTGCTGCTGGTTCTGCTGGCGCTTGGTGAGATCAAGGATAAGCTGCTTCTTGTCGTTTCTGTCGCGCGACTATCAAGACGACGAGTCAACAGCCCTTGGTCGCCATTCATTGAACGCGAGACTCTCCGGCTTCGTGGGCAAGGGCGAGCATCTTACAATGGGCGCAATGGCAACTCACAGTGTGGTGGGGGCTGCACGTCTTCTCCGGTGCACAACGCGGTTGAAGGTGCACTGTAGCTGGTGATGGCTGCACCAGTCGCACCGGGGCACAGCCGCATCACAGTGAATCTGCAGTTGAGACGACTACTGTCAGTGAAGTAAGCAAGAATCACGAGTCACTGTTGCACATGCCTTCCTCTGATGGCACTCATCGCAGGCTCGCTTTTTGACAGTGAAGAAGCTGGCCATGGTTGCGTGGTGGATTTGGGCGGCCTAGTGGCAGATTCTGTGTTGGCGGACGACGGCTTTATGGCAGGTAGGAAGAAGATGCACTCGTGCCAGGAACGAAGGAATTAGTACGACCCAACATATATGACAGAGTAAGGTACGTATTAGTGAGCGTGTAAGTAGAAGGTGACCGGTAAGCTCGGTGAAGGTGGGGCAGATAAAATGTCACCGAAGGTCTGGAAAGTCGAGACCTGCGACGACTCACCGAACGAGACCCAGTTTATTTTTTTATCGCAAAGCAGAGACCCCACTAAAATTTTCTTATCGGGTCCTCCCCAACTCTCCATTTCTCTTGCGCCCGAGTCTGCTCCAAACAAGACTTTGTGGTTTTTCATTATACTCGTCTTTTGAGAACTTTTTCGCACTGCTCGACTGGACTTCAATTGACGACATACTAGCGAGAAAAGCCGGTCGCAAATACATATTCCACCATGTCAGGCTTTCAGATCCCCGGACTGGGGTTCGCGAAACCAAACGAGACCCTGCCGCCGGTGCCCGCCGACCTTCTCGCTGCCGCCGCGAGCTTCGAGGGCGTAGATCCCGAGATTATCGCCGCCGCCAACGGCACCTCGGAGCAGATCCAGAACCAGAATGAGGACGTCAATATGGGAGAGAGCATGACCGAGTCGCAGCCCGCCCCTGCGCCTGCGCAAACAGCAGAGCCCGTCGCCGCGGTACCCGTCGCCGCCGCACCACAGGAGGTCACCGACCCCGATGCCATGAACGTCGACGATGCCGCCGAGCCCCCTTCCCTGACAGACGCCCTCGAGGCCATGATCAGTGGTCTCGATCATACTCCCCCAGCCCAGGCAGTCGAAGTTCCCCAAGAGGCGTCTGCAGCAGCTCAGGAAGCGCCTGCGCCTACGTCTGCGTCCACACCTGCGACCGCACCTGCACCCGCAGCACTAGAGATGATAGACGCCCCTCAAATGCTCGAAAGACCCCAAATGATCGATGCCCCGACCTCCTCCACCGCCGACCAAGACCAACAAGACCCCGCCGCCGAAGGCGAAGGCGACCACCCCGAGTGGGAAGCCGACTCCTCGCCCTACGAGTCCTCCTCCGACTCCTCCAGCGACTCCTCCTCGGACTCGGACGACGATTCGGACGCAGGCGGCTACCAGCTCCTCGGCGTAGAAGAGACGGCGCGCATGCTCATGGAAATGGAAGGCGGCTCAGACGACGAAGGCGGAGGCGACGGCAAGAACGGCGGCGGCGCGGGGGCCGGCGCCTCGGGACACCTGCGCACCAAGAACGAGGTCGCCGACGTCACGGTCCCCGCCAAGCCCGACGTGACCCTCACCGCGGACGACAAGATTGAGGAGCTCGGGCTCGTGGAGCAGATTGTCGAGAACATCATGGTGGTGAGGGCTTTCACGCCGGGCGAGTACCAGGTCCTCGACACGGGGTCGGTGCTCTGCACCGAGGACCGGAAAGTGTTTGGCGTGGTGTGGGAGACGATCGGCAAGGTGCTGCAGCCGCTGTATACCGTCATGCTCTCCACGGCCGAGGAGATTGCCGAGGCCGGGCTGGCTGTCGGCGTGAAGGTGTACTACCCGCCCGCGCACGCCAAGTTCGTGTTCACGCAGCCGTTGAAGAATTTGAAGGGATCAGACGCGAGCAACATCCACGACGAAGAGATTGCCGAGGACGAGATGGAGTTCTCGGATGACGAGAAGGAGGCGGAGCACAAGAGGCAGATCAAGCAGAAGAAGAAGGAGGCGAGGTTCGGCAAGGACGGTGGCGAACGCGGTGGACCTAGCGAGAAGAGGAGCAGAAATCATCGCGAGCCGCACCCGCTGCGGAACGAGGTCAGCGCCGCGGCTGCCGGTCCTTCTACCGACGGCGGACTCAACTACGACGACGAGGACGATGGCCCGTACAAGCCCCTCGCGCGACCGCCTGGGTTCGGCCAGGCCCCGCCTGCGCAGCAGAGTTTCACTACGGAGCCTGAACCGGGTCGTTTCGGCGGGCGCAGAGGTGGACGTGGCGACTCTAGGGGACGCGGCGATAGGGGCAGGGGAGGAGGTCGTGGTCGTGGACGCGGCGGGTACGGAAACCGCGGGGATCACAGGGAGGGATACTCGGCGCCTC